ATCCTTTTCAAACTTTCTCGTGCACATCTACAATTTTCGCAAACTTGAAATTGAATATCATATTTTGCCATAACTAACTAAAATTCTTATTTCACCCCACAACTCTCTTCGGGTGGAGAGAAGTGCTCCTTTCAAAACATTTAGAAGATTGATGAAACATTAACAAAAATAGAAAATAATTTCCATTATGCATGTGATTAAAACCTACAGTACAGTATTGGAGTGTAGTGATACAGTAGATCATCCTGTTGAGCACTGGTGCCTCAACTCCACTGGGCCATGTCCAGATGGGATACAATTTATGTCAAGTTGACGTCAAAAGTTGAAATGTTTAGCATTTTAGCTAATCCTAAAGCTAACCCTTTTCGTAACCTTAACTTTATTCTCCTTAGCTGCTACATTAATTCTCCTAACTTGTTGCGTAAATTCTCCTAACCTACTATGAAAAGTCAATTTTCACATAAACTGTATCCCATCTAGACAAAACCACTCCACTGACAAGAAGCCACTTAGTGGCCAATGGGGGACCAGAGACATAAGTGTATGGTTCATTAAGAAGACATGCACTATCCCTGTCGCAGGACGGTAATACAACAACCTTGATTTCATTAGTGCTCTCCCTTTCTGCTGTGCTGGCCACAAGCAGATTACACAGACAGCAGCCAGGAAATCCTATTAAAGGAGGCCACGTAAGCCGCAGTGAGCAGGCCGGTTCATGCCCTCTGTCCTCCAGTCCTTCATCATCCCTTTCTCTTCCTCTCTCTCTCTCTCTTTGGATGTGTTCTCCTCCTCTCCCCATTTTAGTCTCTCTCGCTCTCTGTCTCGTCTGCTCAGATTTTAGGCTTGTCCACCTCCCGGTTGGCCTTGCGAAATATCGTCTTGATCTCATCTGTCACCATCTCTTGCCAGTTGTCCCTGAGAATGGAAGATCAAATAACATTTAAACTCTACGTACCTTCACTGGCGAGACAAGATGAGAGAGATGACATGGCAGAAGAAGCATGACTCAGAATGTTAATTGTCTTAGAGGACAGGAGGCTGGTGAGGGAAGGATGGCTCATAATAATGTCTGGAATGGAGTGAATGGAGTGAATTCCATGAATTCCGTTCCAGCCATTACTACGAGCCCGTTCTCCCCAATTAAGGTGTCACCAGCCACCTGTGTCTTAGAGGTGCTGCATCAAATGAGAGGCTGAGAAGAAAGGAAGGACGGTAACGAGGGTGAACCACTCACGATGGAAAGAGATTATCCAAAATGAATAGAGCTTTTCTGGGAAGGTCAAGCTCTGCTTTTAACGGTATTGAAGGTGATAAGATCAGAAGATTAGAGAAGAGATCAGATCAAGACTTGAAGAGATCAGGTCAAGAGACTATGGATGGACAGTAGAGGGGGCGGGGGGGTAGTAGAGGGGGCTCAACAAAATCCCACAGATTGTGAAAGCCACAAACTACATGCAACATAAGAACCCACACAACAACTAGCTTTCCACCATGACACAACAGAGCACGGCATGCAAGTTGCTAGCTACCTCCTCGATTTTGACTCAGAGAATCAAGCTTTTTTCTCTGCTTTTTTTCTCTTGTACGCAGCTATATCCTCTGGGTTCAGTCCATGATTGTCATCCCTAAAGTAGACAACACATGTAACGCCACCACAACAGCCTCAAACACATCCTGGTACTCATTGGGGCTCCATTTTGCTCATGCAGTGAATGATGAGAAAATTAGTGAAATTATTACACATAAACACATACAACTGCTGTATAATCAATGCACAAATATTCACTGAATGAAATGTAGACATGTTACGATTCACTTAGAGTGGTTCTCACCAGGGTCTCAACATAAGGTACTGTATTGTGAGGTCTTACCCTGGTTTAATTTCTGGAGGGTTCGGTAAAGGCTTTGTGAAGTTTTCTTTCCCAACCAGCCAGTATGTCTCTTCAATGCCTTTACCCTGTAGGAACATATCATTATTCATGATTTATTTATAAACAGTTGAAAGAAATACTACAGGTGAACACAGAGGATGATGTATTGTGAGGTGTTTATACCTTCAGCTCTGTCATGCCCCTGACGTCTATCTTGTAGCCCTCGTTGAGGGAGCGCAGGATCTTCACAGTGCTCATGTTCACATGAATTCTATAAGCTGAAAGGAAATAACACTGTCACTACAAACCATACCAGCAAAATAATGCAGACATCCTGAGCAGAAATACACTGAGTGTACAAAACATTAAGAACACCTACTCTTTCCATGACAGACTGACCAGGTGAATCCAGGTGAAAGCTATGATCCCTTATTGATGTCACTTGTTAAATCCACTTCAATCAGTGTAGATGAAGGGGAGGACACAGGTTAAAGAATGATTTTTAAGCCTTGAGACAATTGAGACATGGATTGTGTATGTGTGCTATTCAGAGGGTGAATGGGCAAGACAAAATATTTAAATGCCTTTGAACAGGGTATGGTATTAGGAGCCAGGCGCACTGGTTTGTGTCAGGAGCTGCACCGCTGCTGGGGTTTTCACGCTCAACAATTTCCTGTGTGTATCAAGAATGTTCCACCACCCAAAGGACATCCAGCCAACTTGACACAACTGTGGGAAGCATTGGAGTCAACATGGGGGGGTGGGGGGGGGGGGTGCAACTCAATATTAAAAAGGTGTTCTTAATGTTTTGTAAATCAACACCAAGAACCTCTGATACTCACGCAGCCCAGTGGATTCCATACGAGAGGCAGTGTTGACTGTGTCTCCAAAAAGGCAGTACCGAGGCATGGTCAGACCCACCACCCCAGCAACACATGACCCTGTACACACACACAACACATGAGCATCACATCTCAGCCATCACATTGAGAAACCAAACCCTGGCCTGCTACTGCTCCAACCTCCCTCATTATGACTGATGGATCCCCACATACAGACAGTTAGAAAAGGAAATACAGTGGCTTGGGATTTTTGCCCATTCTTCAAGGCAAAACTGCTCCAGCTCCTTCAAGTTGGATGGGTTCCGCTGGTGTACAGCAATCTTTAAGTCATACCACAGATTCTCAATTGGATTGAGGTCTGGGCTTTGACTAGGCCATTCCAAGACATTTAAATGTTTCCCCTTAAACCACTTGAGTGTTGCTTTAGCAGTATGCCCAGGGTCATTGTCCTGCTGGAAGGTGAACCTCTGTCCCAGTCTCAAATCTCTGGAAGACTGAAACAGATTTCCCTCAAGAATTTCCCTGTATTTAGCGCCATCCATCATTCCTTCAATTCTGACCAGTTTCCCAGTCCCTGCCGATGAAAAACATCCCCACAGCATGATGCTGCCACCACCATGCTTCACTGTGGGGATGGTGTTCTCGGGTGATGAGAGGTGTTGAGTTTGCGCCAGACATAGCGTTTTCCTTGATGGCCAAAAAGCTCAATTTTAGTCTCATCTGACCAGAGTACCTTCTTCCATATGTTTGGGGAGTTTCCCACATGCCTTTTGGCAAACACCAAACGTGTTTGCTTATTTTATTCTTTAAGCAGTGGCTTTTTTCTGGCCACTCTTCCGTAAAGCCCAGCTCTGTGGAGTGTACGGCATAAAGTGGTCCTATGGACAGATACTCCAATCTCCGCTGTGAGCTTTGCAGCTCCTTCAGGGTTATCTTTGGTCTCTTTGTTGCCTCTCTGATTAATGTGTTGGTGGGCGGCCCTCTCTTGGCAGGTTTGTTGTGATGCCATATTCTTTCAATTTTTTTATAATGGATTTAATGATGCTCCGTGGGATGTTCAAAGTTTCTAAGGGGATATTTTTTTATAACCCAACCTTGATCTGTACTTCTTCACAACTTTGTCCCTGACCTGTTTGGAGAGCTCCTTGGTCTTCATGGTGTCGCTTGCTTGGTGGTACCCCTTGCATAGTGGTGTTGCTGTCACGCTCTGGCTCCGGGACTTTGTATGTTGAGCCAGGGTGTGTTCGTTTCGTTGTGTTCTGTTTGGTTGGGTTGTTCTATGTGGTTGTATTTCTTTGTTTGGATGAGTGACTCCCAATCAGAGGTAACGAGTGTCAGCTGTTTGGCCCGTTGTCTCTGATTGGGAGCCATATTTATAATGTCTGTTTTCACCTTGTGTTTGTGGGTTTTTGTTCCTTGTCAGTCATTGTCTGAGGACGTTACGTATCGTTTATTGTTTTGTATTCGTGTTTGCACTTTACTATTAAAGTATGTTCGCTCAACACGCTGCGCCTTGGTCCTCTCTAACCAACGATCGTGACAGAAAAACCCACCTTAACCAGATCAAGCAGCGTGACGAGGAGAGAGGATGGACGTGGGAGGAGATGATTGCGAGTCTGGCAAGAGGGAGAGAGGCCTGGGCCACGGGGAGGAGAGACCCCCAGGAAATTTTTAGGGGGGGGCTCACGACGTCGGGGCAGCAGGTGTACGGGTTAGAGCGGTGCAAAGCGTTGGCAGAGAAGGCCGCCAGGTTAGGGGGGCCACTGGGCACAGAGGAGAGGGAAAGTGTGGAGGCACGGCGAGAGGTACTGGGGTGTGTTACCAGTCCGGTCCGGCCCGTTCCTGATCCCTGCGTGGGGCCAGTGGTGTGTGTCCCCAGTACGGTCCGGCCTGTTCCTGCCATTCCCACCAAGGCAGTGGTGCGCGTCGTCAGCCCAGCCCGGCCTGTTCCTGCCATTCCCACCAAGTCTGTGGTGTGCGTCGACAGCCCGGCCCGGCCTGTTCCTGCCATTCCCACCAAGTCAGTGGTGCGCGTCGTCAGCCCAGCCCGGCCTGTTCCTGCCATTCCCACCAAGTCAGTGGTGCACGTCGTCAGCCCAGCCCGGCCGGTTCCTGCCATTCCCACCAAGTCAGTGGTGTGCGTCGACAGCCCAGCCCGGCCTGTCCCTGCTCCACGCACCAAGCCTACGAGGTGCGTCGCCAGTCCAGCCCGGCCTGTCCCTGCTCCACGCACAAAGCCTACGGTGTGCGTCGCCAGCCCAGCCCGGCCTGTTCCTGCTCCACGCACAAAGCCTACGGTGTGCGTCGCCAGCCCAGCCCGGCCTGTCCCTGCTCCACGCACAAAGCCTACGGTGTGCGTCGCCAGCCTGACCCGGCCTGTTCCTGCCACTCGCACCAAACCAGGGGTGCGAGTCGCCAGCCTGGTCCAACCCGTTCCTGCTACTCGCACCAAGCCAGGGGTGCGAGGCGTCAGCCTGGTCCAGCCCGTTCCTGCTACTCGCACCAAACCAGGGATGCGAGTCGTCAGCCTGGTCCAGCTCGTTCCTGCTACTCGCACCAAACCAGGGAATGGAGTCGTCAGTCCGGTGAGGCCCGTTCCTGTTCCACGCACCAAGCCAGGGGCGCGTGTCGTCAGTCCGGCTCCGACCAGCGGGGCTAGACAGGACCAGGGGTACTTTGGGGGGTTGGAGAGGAGGTGGGGATCAGGGCCGGAGCCAGAACCACCGCCGAGGAGGTATGCCCACCCAGCCCTCCCTTGTTTAGCCCTTATTGAGGCGCGGTCGCAGTCCGCGCCTTTAGGGGGGGGTACTGTCACGCTCTGGCTCCGGGACTTTGTATGTTGAGCCAGGGTGTGTTCGTTTCGTTGTGTTCTGTTTGGTTGGGTTGTTCTATGTGGTTGTATTTCTTTGTTTGGATGAGTGACTCCCAATCAGAGGTAACGAGTGTCAGCTGTTTGGCTCGTTGTCTCTGATTGGGAGCCATATTTATAATGTCTGTTTTCACCTTGTGTTTGTGGGTTTTTGTTCCTTGTCAGTCATTGTCTGAGGACGTTACGTATCGTTTATTGTTTTGTATTCGTGTTTGCACTTTACTATTAAAGTATGTTCGCTCAACACGCTGCGCCTTGGTCCTCTCTAACCAACGATCGTGACAGTTGCAGACTCTGGGGCCTTTCAGAACAGGTGTATATATACTGAGATCATGGGACACTTAGATTGCACACAGGTGGACTTTATTCAACTAATTATGTGACTTCTGAAGGTAATTGGTGGCACCAGATCTTATTTAGGGGCTTCATAGCAAGGGGGTGAATACATATGCACACACCACTTTTCCGTTTATTAATTTTTTAGAATTTTTTTAAACAAGTTATTTTTTTCATTTCAATTCACCAATTTTGTCTATTTTGTGTATGTCCATTACATGAAATCCAAATAAAAATAATTTTTAATTATGGGTTGTAATGCAACAAAATAGGAAAAACGCCAAGACAAAAAAGTGATTGATTATGATATGAAGAGTTTATTTCCAAAATGCTATATCCACAAATGTTTCACATTTGTGTTTTTTCACCAGAAATGATTAAATGATTGCTGCTTATGGGTACCTTCATGTGCGTGTAAAATATTACTATTTCAATTAATTGATTTTAAGTGTGCATTAAAATGTAGTTTTATTTTTCTAAACACTATATATAAATTTTTTAGCTGGAATGGAATGTTTGCAGACTGTATATTTGACTGTAATATTTGGTTGTCTCACCTAGCTATCTTAAGATGAATGTACTAACTGTAAGTCGCTCTGGATAAGAGCATCCGCTAAATTACAAAAATGTCAAATGTTAATGTTTTACATACAGATGTCATATTACTGTATAGTTTAAAAAATATATATATATATTGATGTATCATTTGTACGGTTCTTTATAAAAAATGTAGTTATTTGTTACATTTGACTGTGCAAAACCTAGCAATACTACTTATTTCTCTGAGAGTGAGGTGGATATATAGCGTTTAAAGAATAAACATGATTATTTGTCTCTCTGAAATGAAACCATCAAGTGATAGATTTCAAACAAATACATGTCTGTCATTGAACAAACCCATGCCATGATTAGATAGTGAAAATTCACACCAATCTCTTTCATAAGTTCTTTAAACAGTAGAAGCTGATTTACCAAGATTTCTGAAAATTGATAAATAGCATTTTGGAAAGAAATTTATAAACACCTCATGTTGGCATTCATCCATTGAGCAAGATTGATGAACTAGCTAATGTGGCCTAGCTTCAGAGTGTCTCTGCCAGGCAGGGACAACCCCTGCCCTCTCTCACCTGAGTGTATCCCTATTCGTATCCTGACGGGCACGCCCGGCATGTGGCGCATCTGGAAGGTGCCCACAGAGCTCAGGATGTTCAGGGACATGTTGGCTATCTCCGCTGCGTGTTTGTTGCCATTCCTCTTGGGGAGACCTGATGCCACCATGTAGGCATCACCAATGGTCTCCACCTACATAATGAAAACAAACAGGCATATAGTAAAACATTGCCACATTGATACTCGAAAAATCCTCACGTCACTTGATTTGTGCTGTTGTGAAGCTTCCCTAGCATGGCACCCCAACCCGCAACTATGATGCCTCGGCTCAGCTCATTTTGGTTCAACTCAGTAGTGTGAAAATAGTATAACTGACCTTGTATACGTCGTGGTTGCTGAGCACAGCGTCGAACAGCGTGTACAGATCATTGAGCAGGTCCACCACCTCGATGGGATCACTGAGGGAGGAGATGGTGGTGAAGCCTACTATGTCACTGAAGTAGATTGTGACCTGGTCAAAGTACTCTGGCTCCACCGTCGCACCCGTCTTCAGAGCCTCTGCCACAGAACTGTAATGTGACAAGGGACATTTTGTGTTCGTGGTAACATGACACAGAGCAACAAACAATCATTAAAAGTTACAAGTACTGTACTGTATCATGGGATGGAACGATAATACCCTTGGCATTGTACAAGAATGATATCTTGAAATAACAAAATGCCCATTGACTTCTTTAGATGTCTCTGTGTGTGTTATAACATGATGCTTGACTCACGGAGGTAGCATCTCAGAGAGCAGTTTCTCTGTCCTCTGTTTCTCCACTTCCAACTCCTCTGTCCTCTCTCTGATCAGGTCCTCCAGGTTAGACGAGTACTGCTCCAGCATCCGCAACATGGAGTCAATGATGTTGGTCTTCTTGCCCTTGTTGATCAGCTTGAACTGTGACACAACACCACCACCACCATCATCATCATCATCATCATCATCATCATCATCGGTGCACCACTACATTATGTAATATCAGGTATGACTTATGCTCTCTGCAAAAAATCCATAAAGCTATGAGCCAAGACTTTGTCCGTGCCTGAATACCAATACTAGCGTTTCTAAATCGTATCCATTTTATGTACGCGAAAATAGAAAGTTTTATAATATGTGAAATTTCAAAAATCAAGTATGCTTTAAATGCCAGGATGTTATACTAATTTCGGCTTTTCATGTAGTAGAATTCGCTGCACACTTTTGAGGAAGAGAATCATCTTTTCAGACTAGGGTTGCACAATTTCGTGAACTTTCAGTAAATTCCCTGGTTTTCCAGAAGTCCTGAGTGGAGGATTCCGGATTTCCTGTTTATTCCCTCCTGATTCCGGGAATCCTCCAACCGGAATTTCGGGAAAACCAGGGAATTTATTGAAAGTTCCCGGAATTTTGCAACCCTATTCCAGACTCATGTGTGTTTGACAACAGCTGATAATCAGCTGATAATGAGATAAGGGGACGCGCTGTACCCAAATGAATGAATGTCGGGAATCAACGCAATTGCGCATTATTAGATGACACATTCTCAGGATGTGTCACGCCCTGACGTATGGAACTCTTGTATGTTGAGTCAGGGTGTGGAGATCTATGTTATTATTTCTATGTTTACATTCTAGGTATTGTGTTTCTATGTTTGGCCGGGTGTGATTCCCAATCAGAGGCAGCTGTCGCTCGTTGTCTCTGATTGGGGATCATACTTAAGTAGCCTGTTTGCAATCATTAGTTGTGGGATCTTGTTCCGTGTATAGGCTTGTATTGTGTTTAGCCTGAGGACGTCACGTCACGTCACGTCACGTCACGTCACGTCACGTCACGTCACGTCACGTCACGTCACGTCACGTCACGTCACGTCACGTCACGTCACGTTGTTTTGTTCGTGTGTTTAGTTTATAAAATAAACATGTGTGCATTTCACGCTGCGCCTTGGTCTGACCCGTTCATCAATGATCGTGACAGGATGGGTGAGCCTAGTATGTTAATATTTGTTGCTTACTGCATTCGTTTTTACTAAACAGTACATTCTAAATAGTATGTAGTTTGATTAGTACACAGTATGTTCTTTTATTAAGTAGTAGGCAAGACAGGTTCCGGACACGGCCAATGAATAATTACCCAGACATATTCCCTGCATTACCCTGCTATGACACTGACAGCAGATAACCATGGAGACAGATGAGGGTTGCTGACCTGGTCAAAGATCTCATCGAAGGCTGGTCTGCGGTCAGGCTGTTCGCTCCAGCACTGTTTCATCAGCTGGATACACTCCAGAGGAGCCTGATCTGGGGCCACAGTGGGCCTGCACATGGGAGGAGGCTTCTTCACCTTACGGATGATCTCTGATGGTGAGGGAGAGAGAAAGAGAGGAGAGAGGTTATATAGCAGCAGCACGGGAGCATAACAACTCATTACACAGCTTATTGGCAGCTGGTACTAGACAGTTTGTGAAAGCAAAGCAGAAATTCTGTATGTACAATATGTCGCTACATAATACACTGTAGATAGGGAAATTATTGTGATTTACAACTCTGACCTTACTCGAACGATAACAGTTTAACTAATCAATCAATTGATGTTGATTCACAAAAGACAGAAAAATGACCTCAAGGTAAAACAAAAAATTGCCTCTCAGAGTGGATTGTATGGTTTTGTATCCCCCAGACCTACCCGCAGGAGTCAGACCCAGCATGCAATATGGAAGTCCTCGGACAACCACCTCTTGGAGTATAATGGCAAAACTATACACATCTCCTTTATAGGTCCCCTTCCGAGAGTTCTCCACATCTCGGAGGAACTCTGGAGCTGTCCAAAACTGATCTGAGATACAGAGGCACAGGGTCATGATTTTGGCATTGTAGTTAAATGCAGCACATGAGAAGCATACATAATCTAAATGACATAGATTTATGCTCACAAACTAGAAATACAAATTAATGTGTGTCAAGTCCATCTTTAAAGGTCCAATGCAGCCAAATCATTTCTGGATAACAATTAAGTACCTTACTGTGATTGTTTTCAATTCAAATGGTCAAAAACAAACAAAAATAACTTCTTAGCAAAATGTCATTTCTCAAGCAAGAATTTTGCTAGGACTGTTTGGGAGTGGTCTGAGAGGGGCCTAACTGGAGGAGCCTAGTGGGAGGGATGTGTAACCTGAAAACGAACTGCTATTGGCAGAGAGGAGGGCAAACTCTCTTTGTTATGATGTCACCAGGCGGTCCAAAACTCCACCCATGCGAAACAAGCTGAAATTAAAGGCAGTCTTTTCAAACAACTCTTACACTAAAAGGGCATTAACATCAGTTTGGAAATATGTTTGGAAATATGTATAAAACACAGGAAAATCATGTTTTTGACTGCACTGCTCCTTTAACATGATATGGAAGACTGAACATTTTCACACAAAAAATGCTAATCTAGGCATAGATGTTACCTTCAGGTGGAACTAGATTTTGGGGGGATTTCTGGGATTCCAGCAGCTCGTTAAAGCCGTAGTCTGTGATCTTGAGGACGAAGCGTCCGTCCACCACACAGTTCCGTGACTTCAGCCGGCCGTGAGGGAACTCTCGATGGTGCAGATACTTCATACCCTGAGAGGCCAATATGATCAACAGTGGTAAACCATTGGTGTTACTTATGACAAAGTAAAATAAAAACATTTGAAATGAACATGATCTGCTGGCCGAAACAGTTTTTAGAAGATATTTTTAAATCTTTATTGGGACAAATTACACTAGTAAAAAAAGTTCTGTAACATGAGGTGTCAAGCATGTCATACCTTGATTAGGTCCAGCAACAGAGAAGACTTGAACATCCAGTCCAGCTTGACGTCGTCGTTCCTCAGGAGGTCCTGCAGGCTGCCACGGGAACAATGCTCCGTCACCACGGCAAACATGTCACAGTCTGTGAAAAACCCCAGGAATGGATTGATGTTCTCATTTCGCAGATCCTTCATCTGGACACATTCACACAAAATGAAGAAACAAAAAAAACTCACATCCCAGACATGACTCTATACATTGTAAATGTGGTATTGGCACTGACCCTCTACATAGCTTCATCTCTTATTTCTTATATACAGTACCAGTCAAAAGTTTGGACACATCTACTCATTCAAGGGTTTTTCTTTATTTTTACTATTTTCTACATTGTAGAATAATAGTGAAGACATCAAATTTATGAAATAACACATATGGAATCATGTAGTAACCAAAAAAGTGTTAAACAAATCAAAAATATATTTTATATTTGAAATTCTTCAAATAGCCACCCTTTGCCTTGATGACAGCTTTGCACACTCTTGACATTCTCTCAACCAGCTTCACCTGGAATGCTTTTCCAACAGTCTTGAAGGAGTTCCCACATATGCTTAGCACTTGTTGGCTGCTTTTCCTTCACTCTGCGGTCCGACTCATCCCAAACCATCTCAATTGGGTTGAGGTCGGGGGATTGTGGAGGCCAGGTCATCTGATGCTCTCCATCACTCTCCTTCTTGGTAAAATAGCCCTTACACAGCCTGGAGGTGTGTTGGGTCATTGTCCTGTTGAAAAACAATTGATAGTCCCACTAAGCCCAAACCAGATAGGATGGCGTATCGCTGCAGAATGCTGTGGTAGCCATGCTGGTTAAGTGTGCCTTGAATTTGAAATAATGAAAAAAAAAAATTGAAATAAAATGTATGCACTCACTAACTGTAAGTCGCTCTGGATAAGAGCGTCTGCTAAATGAATAAAATGTAAAATGTAAATGTAAATCACAGACAGTTTCACCAGCAAAGCACCTCCACACCATAATACCTCCTCCTCCATGCTTTACGGTGGGAAATACACATGCGGTGATCATCCGTTCACCCACACCGCGTCTCACAAAGACACGGCGGTTGGAACCAAAAATCTCCAGACCAAAGGAGAAATTTCCACCGGTCTAATGTCCATTGCTCGTGTTTCTTGGCCCCAAGCAGGTCTCTTCTTCTTATTGGTGTCCTTTAGTAGTGGTTTCTTTGCAGCAATTCGACCTTGAAGGCCTGATTCACACAGTCCCCTCTGAACAGTTGATGTTGAGATGTGTCTGTGACTTGAACACTGTGAAGCATTTATTTGGGCTGCAATTTCTGAGGCTGGTAACTCTAATGCACTAATAATCTGCAGCAGAGGTAACTCTGGGTCTTCCATTCCTGTGGTGTCCTCATGAGAGCCAGTTTCATCATAGCGCTTGATGGTTTTTGCAACTGCACTTGAAGAAACGTTTTCCGTATTGACTGACCTTCATGTCTTAAAGTAATGATGGACTGTCCTTTCTCTTTGCTTATTTGAGCTGTTATTGCCATAATATTGACTTGGTATTTTACCAAATAGGGCTATCTTCTGTAACCCCCCCTACCTTGTCACAACACAACTGATTGGCTCAAACGCATTAAGTAGGAAATAAATTCCACAAATTAACTTTTTTGAAGGCACACCTGTTATGCATTCCAGGTGACGAATTCCAGGCAAAGGGTGGCTATTTGAAGAATCTCAAATATAAAATAAAATATATTTGTTTAACACTGTTTTGGTTACTACATGATTCCATATGTGTTATTTCATAAATGTGATGTATTATACAATGTAAAAAAAATAGTAAAAATAAAGAAAAACCCTTGAATTAGTAGGTGTGTCCAAACCTTTGACTGGTAGTGTATATATATATATATATATATATATATATATATATATATATATATATATATATATTATATTTTTATTTATTTATTAGTTATACTATTTTAGATATTGATTACTGCACTGTTGGGTAGAGCTCGCAAGCATTTCACTGTACTTGTGCTTGAACTTGCTGTTGTTGTTATGTTTTGGTTTTACCTTTGTAAAGATCTTGGTGGTGCTCTGCTTGACTTCCTTGAAATGGCCTTCTTCAAACTTTTTCAGCCACACCCAGTCGCCCTGTGAAGCCATGGAAGAAAATATGCGGTTTTATCCGGGCTCCGTTCTCTACAAGTCACATTGAAATATTTTGGGATAGGGACGAAACGTCGACTTGTGGTTCAACGGTAAACATCGTCAACCTACCTCATAGACAGCTACATTTGTGGTCTCATGTGTTGCTGTAGTGATGCTGTTCATAGAGTGGTGCGGGCCTCCTGAATGCATACTGTTGTTATCTATTGCACTTTTAGATTCACTCAGGTCCTCTAGAGTGATTTTCTATGAGGCATAAAATAGATGAATGAACATACAGTATATCAGATAGAGGTAATGTTGAAGAGAATCACATGGGAAAATATAGTTACCCTCTTGCTAAGCTGAGGGTTGATGAACGTGAGGTCCTCTAGAGTCAGTAGGATCCGATTGGGCCCCTTCACCAACTGGATCTGCTGGATTCTCCTCCTGCCAGCCAATCAGAGAGCAAGTCAGCCAAGATCACAGCACAGCAATACCAACTATCTCTGTCTGGGTTTTTAGTCTCTATGTATCTAAACGGCATAAAAATACAGTAAGAAACAGATGAACAGCATAGTGAGAAGAGTTACCTTACGAACAGACTTAGACCAAGTCCTCCCACGATCAGAACGAAGATGATCACAAACACCACTATGACGTAGGTTATCTCCACACCTGAGACAGGTAAGACATGGAGACTAAATACATAGTTTGGTTGTGTGATGGAAGAATGAAAGACACAAACTAACAAGCAAACAGGTTCTCTACCTCCAGTGCAGATTGTGTTTGGTTCAAACCAACAGCTGGAGTCTGAAGGGGGAGGGGAACCCCCGGGGAAGTTAATGGATTTGCCCGCGAAGCGGACCATGTCAGCGCTCAGGTCCACCAGATAGGAGCGGTACAGCTGACCCTCCCATCCGTCGGAGTCCAGGATGACATAGTTGGTCTGGCTCTCCCCTTCAGTGTCTATCTGGATCTTCTGGTTGAAGCCAGAGAACGTCATGTTCCTGGTGAAATAAGCTAGGTTGGTCCCGGAGAGCCACTGGCCAGCTCTCCTGGCATTGTGCATGGCTTTGGCAAGGAGGTAAATACCGTTGTAGATGGTTCCAAACAGGGGGTTGACCTGGAATGCAAGTAGGCCATTGATAAATGGTTTATTTGGCTAAAGTGATTAGCTTCTCCCAAACTGAGAGTGATACACTGATCTAAAACTCACCCCAAAAAAAGTTATACATCAAATGGCCTGAAGACTATGGTGTTTCTCTACATAACCAATGTTCAATAAATGCAATCAATGGCTAATTCATAATATTATTATAATAACAATGTGATAACATAACAATCAATTGAAATTCAGATGGAGTCCACTCACATCCCAGAATTGAAAGTATCAAGAAACACTCTCCTCACCTGCTGTGGGACCAGTGATATGGTGAGTTCCTCAAACCTCTTGGCCATGTTGAACGCCTCGTTGAATGACATCAGATCAGAGGACACGGTGATGGTGAGCACGGCGTCATAGGCCTGCCGCAGCTTGGTGTTGTTTTGCAGGGGGAAGTAGGATGTGTTGGCGTAGGGCAGGCTGTAGAGCAGGGTGTCATAGGGGACAAACACGTAGCGGCCCTTCGTCAGACCCATCTCATGGGCCTTCAGCAGGAAGGCTGTCTGCTGCTCTCCACCAATCAGAGCAGAGTGCATGCACATGATGATCACTGGAACACACAGGACAGAGATAGTGAGGGGTCGACACCTGTAATGTGCATGAAGGAATTGCATATCTGTGCATGTTGCTGAATCATCCTACTGCAAACAAATTATTGATTCATAATAGCATTGATTCACACTTGAGCGACAACCCTGACAATCCAGTTGGAAGCATTGAATAATCAAGTCAGAAATAACTTAATCAACACTTGAGGAGGTAACATTCATCATTGCCCAAGAGGGCCCTACCTTAAAGGGGCAATCTGCAGTTGCTACATAAAATAAGGGACTTATAAATGAGCCCCACCTGTTTTTTGTTGTTGCCTGTTTTGCATGTTATTTTGGCATTAATTTGTGTCACATATCAGTTTGCAAACAATGTAAAAACACATTTATTGAGTGAATAAACTGCATACAAACATGGTCTCTTTCTTGCTTTCTTGAGTAAGGCAGCTCCAAAATGCAGGTGTTTCTGCCTAGCTCAGTGCTTTCTGTGGTGGAGGGGCAGCCAGTGGAAAATACAGAGCGTAGGCGTTGTTAATCTTCTCTAGTTGTGCCGTGACTGGCTCAGTGTTCTGTCACTCATGGGGACACTACATCACCGCAGAATATACAGGGAGAGCTAGGCAGTTCAAGCCCCATTGGGTGCTGCCATAGATTTACATTAGATGTGCCCATCCAAGAAGGCTCATGATCATTCGCCACAGATAAAATGATGTCAAATCACGTTATATCTACCATAGCTTTGATTGGACTGATCATGTCAACATCATACTTTCAAAATCTTAGCTAGCAAGCTAGACAAGCAGTCATCATCATGAATCACATCGACAATCTACTGGCAAATCCTTTTCAATCCTTGTCATATGAAGATAAATTATAGATAAAACGTATCGGTGCTCATCGGCCATTGGAAATCGCAAATTCAACAATTAGTGGTTTGGAAGGAATCAGTGGCTAACTATAAGCCTTGCAAAGCAATCACTATTTTGCTTCCCCTGCCTGCTATTTCGGTGGATAGGTTGTTTGGTCCATGTCTGGGTTTAAGGATTTAAAACATCTGTCTGAAAGGGTCTCTTTTCCAAGCTTAAAAGGATACATTTTCACACGCAACACCATGGTCCAGAAATTGTTAAATACATTGGCCATGCTGTCAATCCAGCATGACTTATGCCGCGTTCAAAACAACTGAAAACTTGAAACTGGGAAATCTCAGAATCTCAGAACTCGGAAAAAGAACGTTTTGAACGGACATCCAACTCGTAATTCCAAGTCGGGAACTCTGGCCTCTTTCTAGAGCTCCAACCTGAAGATCACTGACATCATGATTCGACCTTGTTTTTTTTCAGAGTTCCCAGTTGTCTTGAAAGCACCATAAATCCAGAGAATGCCAGACTTTGAAAACAAAGTTTGATGACAAAATTTGCCCACAAGAAGGACCGCCACACCACCTTCCTGTTCAACTGAGCACAGCACAACAACGGTGAGTCCAAAAGTGTCTTGTATGCTGCTGCATAAATTATGTAATATACTAGGGAGGTATGTATACTGTAGCTAAGTGTCATGTATGTACATGTACTTACCTGGAGTGCCTAAGGGTGGCACTGTTACTAATTACTACATGTGATCATCTGTACTTGCACTTGACATCTGATAAACGTTGTTCTTTTACTCGCATTCCTGCCTCAGTTTTATTTATTTTATTTTACCTTTATTTAACTAGGCAAGTCAGTTAAGAACAAATTCTTATTTACAATAACGGCCTACACTGACCAAAACTGGACGACGCTGGGCCAATTGTGCACCGCCCTATGGGACTCCCAATCACGGCCGGTTGTGATACAGCCTGGAATCGAACCAGGGGGTCTGTAGTGACGCCTCAAGCATTGAGATGCAGTGCCTTAGACCACTGCGCCACTCGGGAGCCCGAGTGTGCTAATACACTGCTCAAAAAAATTAAGGGAACACTTAAACAACACAATGTAACTCCAAGTCAATCACACTTCTGTGAAATCAAACTGTCCACTTAGGAAGCAACACTGATTGACAATAAATGTCACATGCTGTTGTGCAAATGGAATAGACAACAGGTGGAAATTATAGGCAATTAGCAAGACACCCCCAATAAAGAAGTGGTTTTGCAGGTGGTGACCACAGACCACTTCTCAGTTCCTATGCTTCCTGGCTGATGTTTTGGTCACTTTTGAATGCTGGCGCTGCTTTCACTCTAGTGGTAGCATGAGACGGAGTCTACAACCCACACAAGTGGCTCAAGTAGTGCAGCTCATCCAGGATGGCACATCAATGCGAGCTGTGGCAAGAAGGTTTGCTGTGTCTGTCAGCGTAGTGTCCAGACCATGGAGGCGCTACCAGGAGACAGGTCAGTACATCAGGAGACGTGGAGGGGCAACAACCCAGCAGCAGGACTGCTACCTCCGCCTTTGTGCAAGGAGGAGCAGGAGGAGCACTGCCAGAGCCCTGCAAAATGACCTCCAGCAGGCCACAAATGTGCATGTGTCTGCTCAAACGGTCAGAAACATACTCCATGAGGGTGGCATGAGGGCCCGACGTCCACAGGTAGGGGTTGTGTTTACAGCCCAACACCGTGCAGGACGTTTGGCATTAGCCAGAGAACACCAAGATTGGCAAATTCGCCACTGGCGCCCTGTGCTCTTCACAGATGAAAGCAGGTTCACACTGAGCACATGTGCCAGACGTGACAGAGTCTGGAGACGCCGTGGAGAACGTTCTGCTGCCTGCAACATCCTCCAGCATGACCGGTTTGTCGGTGGGTCAGTCATGGTGTGGGGTGGCATTTCTTTGGGGGGCCGCACAGCCCTCCATGTGCTCGCCAGAGGTAGCCTGACTGCCATTAGGTACCGAGATGAGATCCTCAGACCCCTTGTGAGACCATATGCTGGTGCGGTTGGCCCTGGGTTCCTCCTAATGCAAGACAATGCTAGACCTCATGTGGCTGGAGTGTGTCAGCAGTTCCTGCAAGAGGAAGGCATTGATGCTATGGACTGGCCCGCCCGTTCCCCAGACCTGAATCCAATTGAGCACATCTGGGACATCATGTCTCGCTCCATCCACCAACTCCACGTTGCACCACAGACTGTCCAGGAGTTGGCGGATGCTTTAGTCCAGGTCTGGGAGGAGATCCCTCAGGAGACCATCCGCCACCTCATCAGGAGCATGCCCAGGCGTTGTAGGGAGGTCATACAGGCACGTGGAGGCCACACACACTACTGAGCCTCATTTTGACTTGTTTTAAGGACATTACATCAAAGTTGGATCAGCCTGTAGTGTGGTTTTCCACTTTAATTTTGAGGGTGACTCCAAATCCAGACCTCCATGGGTTGATACATTTGATTTCCATTGAACATTTTTGTGTGATTTTGTTGTCAGCACATTCAACTATGTAAAGAAAAAAGTATTTAATAAGATTATTTCATTCATTCAGATCTAGGATGTGTTATTTTAGTGTTCCCTTAATTTTTTTGAGCAGTGTATATTACATGGTGTTAAAAAGTAATACAAAGGAAACCTCAACATTCCAAAAGATGGAACAAATGAGACCTCCTCTGAACCTGGAGAGAAACCAGGAAATTGTGTGGATCCAGAAATTAAACCCTTATATCATCGACAGTGGCATCTCCGAGAAATCTGAAAAAGTGAAATGTGCCACATTCCTGCACGTAGCCGGAGATGATGCAATCAAGGTATTCAATACTTTCGATTTTGTCGATGATGTAGATGACTTGGATGTATTAAAAGAGCTTTTCCGAACGTACTGTGAGCCAAGAAAAACAAAGCCATCAAGAGAGAACATTATCCTTTAAGTACCATTGAAGATGTAGTTGCTGAAATACCTAACGCCAAGATATTTTCAGTAGTTGATGCAAACCAAGGATTCTGGCAAATCCAACTGGATGAAGAGAGCTCCCGACTCTGCACATTCAATACACCGTTTGGGAGGTATTAATTCAAGAGACTGCCGTTCGGAATCGCATCCGATCCAGAGGTGTTCCAGAGGTGCCTCGCCCAGCATTTGGAAGGTCTGGAAGGTGTCATAAACATCATGGATGACATTCTTGTCTGGGGTGATGACACAGAGCAGCACGACCGGAGACTGAGACAGCTACTAGACAGACTGAGAAGCATCAAAACTGAATAAGGACAAGTGCCAAATCAGAATGACAGAAATGTGCTACATTGGACATGTGTTATGCAAAGAAGGCCCGAAACCAGAAATGGTCAGAGCAATACAAGAAATGCCAGAGCCAGAGGACAAAGCAGTGCTTCAGAGGTTCATGGGAATGTTGCAGTATCTCGCAAAGTTCATCCCAAATCTCTCAGATGTCAGCGCACCTCCGAGCCAACTGCTAGACGGAGATGTTCAGTAGCACTGGGAGTCTTCACAGGAACAGAGCTTCAAAAGCTTTAAAACACTCATCAGCAATGTGCCAGTTTTAAAGTACTACGATGTGAAAAAAACAGTGACACAATCTGTGGATGCAAGCTCAGAAGACTTGGGAGCTGTGATCCTGCAAGATGGTCAGCCAATCGCATATGGGTCAAGATCCCTCACAGACTGTCAAAAGAGATACACTCAAATTGAAAAAGAGCAACTGGCGATAGTATATGGCTGCGAGAAGTTTCATCAATACCTGTATGGAAAACAGATCCAGGTGGAGTCAGACCACAAGCCCTTGGAAACAATCTTCAAGAAGTTGCTCCAGAAAGCACCAGCCAGACTGCAGAGAATTCTGATGAGACTACAGAGATACAGTCTACATGTGACATATAAACAAGGAAAGGAGATACACATCGCTGATCCACTGAGCCGAGCATACCTGAAGGAACAGAGAGAGAAATTGCTGGATGGTGAGCTAGATGTAAACTACATTTCTCATCAACTACCGGTTTCAGAAGAAAAACTGCAGCAATTCAAAACAGTAACAGCAGAAGATGAAGAGTTAAGACTGGTCACAGAAACAGTTAAAAAAGAATGGCCAGACACGAGAGGGAACGTTGCAAAGAAAATATAGCACTACTGGACCTTCAGAGAGGACTTGACATACTCAGATGGACTGCTGTTCAAAAGTTCAAAACTTGTCGTTCCTCCGAAAATTTGAGAAGAAATTATGGAAAAAACCCATGAAGCACACATGGGAATCGTAAAATGTAAGGAACGAGCAAGGGACGTTCTGACCAGGCATGGCTAAACAGATTGAATATGTTGTAACAAAATGTGCAGTCTGCAACACATACAAATACAACAACCAAAGAGAGCCGCTCATATCTCATCCAGTCCCAGAGAGAGCTTGGGCCAAAGTTGGAGTGGACCTCTTCCATTACAACCACATCTACTATGTGTGGATTACTACTCAAAATACCCAGAAATCTCCAAGCTCAGTGGGACAACAAGTCACAAACACGTCATTACAGCACTAAAGTCAATATTCGCAAGGCATGGGGTGCCCGACGTTTTGTGCTCCGACAATGGAAGACAGTTGCTGAGTCAAGAAATGTCCGAGTTCTCTACCAGCTGGGAGTTCAAACATGTCACGTCGAGCCCTAGATTTCCACAGTCAAACGGCCAAGCTGAGAGAGCAGTTCAGACTGTGAAGAACCTGTTGAAAAAAGCACGAGACAGCAATGGACATCCTTACATAGCTCTCCTTGAGTACAGAAACACACCCCTGGATGGAATTGGTCTCTCACCTGCACAACTACTAATGGGAAGAAGGCTGAAGACAAAGATTCCGACATCAAAGAGATTGTTAAAGCCAGGACTCTATCAGCATGTCAGGAGCCGTCTCACAAGCAGACAACAGAGACAAAAACACTACTTTGACCAAGGCACACGTAAGCTTTCAGTCATGGAGGAAAGAGAACGAGTCAGGATCAGACAAGACAACAAATGGCAACCAGCAATTGTACTTGGAAAACATGACCAGCCAAGGTCATACATAGTACAAACACAAAACGAGAGAATCTACAAAAGGAACCGGAGACACCTGTTAAAAACACATGAAACAACACACCCAGAGAGACACTCAGAAACCGTAATGAACTTACCTTATCCGGTGGATGAAAACTACTCACCTGTGTGTTCTCCAGCACCAACAACACCAAAACAAACAGTGGAAAGCAACACTGAAGACCTATCAGAATGCCAAAACGCTACCAGTACTGAAAAGACTATACTGAAAAGACTGTTGAAAGAAAAAAAGAAAAAGAAAAAATTAGAATAAAATAATAAATAAAACATTGAAAAGACATTAACAATGAGATGACAATTGTGATGTCTATGTTATGTTGTGAAAAAAAAGAGTTTATTGTTTGCAATGTGAAACACTGTGTTGAAAGAACATAAAAAATTAAATAGAAAATGTAAAGAAAGGAAGATGTATGTACATGTACTTACCTGGAGTGCCTGAGGGTGGCGCTGTTACTAATTACTACATGTAATCATCTGTACTTGCACTTGACCCATGACTGATAAACGTTGTTCTTTTACACTAAGAAAGTAGTACTAAGTGCATGTTGTGTAGTAAGCTGTTAGTAGCCCATGTGCCTCACGCTAATAAGTTGGTCCCTTTCCCGCTCAGAACTTAGCCTACTGTTTTGACTTGACTTGTTAGAGAAATGTCATCATCGAATATTGTCTGCTTATACTGTATGCCCCCTTTATTTATGCTACGGTTCTGACTTGGTGTACATGGAGAATACTGTAAGCACGTTTCATGTTCTGAATTCTGTCGCTGTACATTTCAAAAGTGCTGAAAAAATAGTTATAGTGACTACGTCCATCTTAGCTCGCTCATTAATGTCTTAATCGAAATTACAGATAGCCTCTTATCCGCTTGTCATTCTCTTATGCCATAGTTTGTACATCTCAGTTGTTATAGTCCTATTGCTTATATAGGTCTGTCTCATTAATATCTTATTCATCATTTTAGGCAATGTTGGAATGATTTCATTGTTTTACTTACTTTGTGTATTATAATTAGCTCATGTGCTTTTCTTTATGAGGAGGGGATAATATATAATGTTGTTGGGTCTGTAACCATGTTTGCCAGTGACAGTCTCTTCCCATTCAAACATTTGTTTGTTTTCAACAAAAAGTTCAGAAACAGACCCATGTAATTCCAGTTGATATTGCGAGGGTTGCTTTGTTTGCGCAATGCGCTGTCTGTCACACCCTGATCTGTTTCATCTGTCTTTGTGATTGTCTCCACCCCCCTCCAGGTGTCGCCCATCTTCCCCATTATCCCCAGGTATTTATACCTGTGTTCTCTGTTTGTCTGTTGCCTGTTCATTTTGTTTCGTCAAGCCTACCAGCAGTTTTCCCCTTGCGCCTGTCTTTTTCAAGTTCCTGATTTCCCAGTTTTGACCATTCTGCCTGCCCTGACCATGAGCCTGCCGGCCGTTCTGTACCTTGTCACACCACCCTGGATTATTGACCTCTGCCTGTCCTGACCCTAAGACTGCCTGCCGTTCTGTGCCTTTTGGACTCTGATCTGGATTACTGACCTTGACCTGTCGTTTTGCCTGCCCCCTGGTTCTAGTAATAAACTTTTGTTACTTCGACACTGTCTGCATCTGGGTCTTCTCCTGAAACGGGGGGCAGTGCGTCTGTATATTGTATATAAAAGTGGATCATCATGATTGTATTTTCCTTCCTTTTTAGACTACATAGGCCTAATCAAATACTTGAAATGGTAGGCTAACCGACTCTCTCTCTCTCTCTCTGTCTCTCTCTCTCTGTGTGTGGTGACTTAAAGAAGAGTAAAGTTAAGGCCTCAACATCTTGCTGAATTTATCTGAACTAACATCTATCTGAATCTGTCGGTGTCCATTTTGAAAGTGCTGAATGAATAGGCCTACCTCGTCGCAGCTCGTTTGCTTGCACTTGCTTATCCTTAGAGCTAAGTGTTTGATATAAGAATAAACATGAGGATTTTACTGAACATAAATGTCAAAACTCATTTTGGTGTTCGTTATTATTGAAGGAGAATGCGGTTCTTATCGACTTACACAAATCCACAAGGAGTCAGTAGTAACCACATTTGTTTAAGCAAGTCAGCCATATCAACTATGGTTTTTAAAAAGGCAGTAAATGAGGCTGAATGAACTGTTTCGCTGCCAGACAAGGCTCTGCTGATAGCCAGGTGTAGTGGTGGTAAGGATTTATGCCATTGTGCTGAAAGCTCTGCTGTTGGGACAGCTTTATGTAGACCCTAACAGTTTGTGGGCACTGTTTGTCACCGTTATAGTGCAATTAAATGTATTGTTTAGTGTTGTGTTGTGTAGTGTAGTGGCTTTGCTGGCATGCATCCCCCCCAAAAATGTTAAGTTTGCCCCACCAAGATTGACATGCTGAAATCGCCACTGCTTGTTGTACTCCAATGTTTGTAAACAAAGTAAATAGTAAATATAAACAAACACTTTATAGCCTCAAAACATGGTTAAAACTATAATGTAGATATCATGGATGGTTAGTACTTGTATCCATAGCTCTGTCTATGAATTTGAGAGTTGTTACATTTCTCCAGCCCCATCCCTCAGCTTATTACTGAAACAGGGGCGGGAAACGATTTGTTATTGCTTCAACTGCGGATTATCCCTTTAAACTGACCAGCCACTTGCATCTCTCCAGTAACCAAAACTTCATCAAAGAGAAGGTAAAGATGTTCTTAAAAACACTTGCCTTTGATCTCTCCTGCAGCCTGGATTCTGCTCAGTGTGCTTTCCATCTCCGTCTCGTTCATTCCCACCGACGCTACTATGCCAACCGGAAGTCCCTGGCTCCGCAGGGAGTTGGCCACTTTACCGGCGGTGTCCATCCAGATATCCTCATTGGAAGACACGATGCCGATGTTGGCCCAACTGAAATGCTTCAACACCGTGAACAACACCCGTGTAGGTGACGGCAGTGTCCGTGCGAAGGTTGGGTAGCCCTTGATTCGATCCAACTCATAGTTAATACATGCCCAGGAAAAGATAGCTTTATCCCAGTTTTTGCCCAAAAGTGAGGCTGCGTCACAGTATCCTGGATTCGTGGGGCCGACGAAACCGTCCACCATCTTCTCGTAGTACACAAATGTTGTCAATGCTTTAGATGTTTCACAGGCTTCTTGCAGGATCACGAAGTCCAATTTGCTGCCCAAATCTAAACTGAAATCCTCGTTTATTCTGCCCACGGCCAGTTTAGCGGCCATCGCAGGTAGGGCTTTGGAGTAGACCGGGTCGCAGTTCCAGGGCCCAAGGACCCCAACTTTGAAGATTAAACACTGGACACAGCATGGAAACGTCAAAACCCCGAGCAGGACCCATAGCAGAAAGTTATAGAATGGCAGCGTTGCAAGGCTGTGTCTGCTCTTGAAGATGGGGCTGTAGGGATAGTTGGATAAGTCCCATAGCACACCTCCAACATTTAGAGGAATATGTTGCATTATCCTGCTTAAGTATCCGTATTGGTGAACTGTGATCTGATCCTACATCAAAGCATTATAAACCAAACCAAAGACACCTGCAAAAAAAGTTAATGTTAGCCTATTTATTTTAAGATAATTTATAATTAGGGTTAGGATACTTCAAAGTTGTATAAACTGCATATTGTTAAAACAAAGTAGGCGATGTGAGAGTGAGATCACTGTATTTGATAGCATGATATCTCAAAGAGACAGTCGTGAATAGCATAGCTTGAATCATAATAGGTTGCACTTACCATTGCTTTTCTTGGCCTTCTTGAAAGCTGAGAAGTCCGAGGAGAGCTTTTTAAAGCTCCTGTTTTTTTTTGCAATAATCCTCACCTCACCATTCCAGTATTCTCTATATTTTCACTCATGTGAAATGTCATACCGTTGCCCAGTTGAAGACACAACACCTCATTATCTTTCTGGTCTCTATGATAGAGTGAGGCAGATGCAGGAGCCCCGTTGTGTCTGTCAACTTCAGCACCCTGGAGAGCTCCTTACATGCCGCTGTTAACGCTTGAAGAGACTAGCGCGCCAGGCACAGGTCTACTCCACACACAAGTAACATTCTTCTCACCTTATAATGTTAGCTCATTAGATTCACACAGACTAACATTATGTATCCTTGTAAGGTATCCTCCTTGAAAAGTAAAGGTTACCTGATGCTCAACAGGTTGCAGAAACGTAGACTATAAAAGCATCCAAAATAAAGCGATATTTTCTTCAATGTAAAACGTATTTATATTGAATGTCTAATGAATAAACATTATAAATTATAGCAGGCCAAGATCAACCACGCCAATTCAATCAAAGCCTTCTCAAAGTGACCTGTAGGCAAAACGGGTGCAGCACCCGGACCTAATCCATATTCGGTAAGGCACACTATAAGAGGATTGTCAACGTACGTTGGAGTCTGAGAAAAACATTACCATCTCACAAAGCCTTGTCAAGATAGTAGCCTGGGCCTATATTCTGTAGAAAATCACATTTCCATTTACAGAGAGGGCTCTAAAGAAATATAATTATACATTTTCTATTTGGAACTAATAAGTGATGAAAATGAAAAACAAAGTATTTTATCTAGGGTCACATAATTTATTTATTTCCTTTGCCATGGGGACAGCTTGTTGCATGAACACTATGCACCGAGCAATAATTGGTCTGATGCGTTTATGTGACAATGATACGCCCCACACTTAAGTAGAATTTTCTCTTAGGTGTAGAGGGAATAATTAACGTTAACGAAGGGTTCTCCCTGCGCGTGTATCCCCTGAGCTCCTCAATATTTGCCTGCGTCAGTCATTTCAGCTGTTTTGACAACGCGTTTCAGGAACCCAGTGCGAACTTAGACAGATTAGCCTAGTGGCAGGGCCTCCCCCAAAAAAGTATACCCCTAACCGAGGTCGAATAAAACACAACCATATTTTTTCACGTCTCGAATGTCTCCCATTTATGAAATGGATGGTTGTATAAAAATATGTTACTCCAAAACTAAACTCAAAAAGTGCAGAATAATGCCTGGCTGGAGGAGGGATGGGCCACATAAAATCATGTAACCCAATATTGCAGCTCTGATATTGGCCAAATTTGGAATACAAGTAGTCAGTTGTCTGCCCTACATACACAAATAAACCGCATTAGAATATCTTAATGCATCTTGGAAATATAGACCGGTAAACACAGAGATACAATAGGCGGAAATATCAACTATAAATATTTATGATGAATGTAAACTAAAATGTTTGGTAGCTGATTAATAGACAACTCACCAAGTCAAATTTGCTCTCATTCAGCGCTGTAATGTTCCTGCCTGACAAAAATACATACAGTTACACCTCTTTTGATGTTGTGGCTATTGTAACTGGCTCTAAGGAAAACAAGTGGGCTCAGACATCGAAATAAATTGTTTTGGGGTCCAAGGTTCCAGCACATCCCAATGTGCACCACAAATGCAGTGAGCCAGAGGCAGGTCATGTTGGATTCAGGTAGCCTTATTGGACTAGCATTAAATCAACGCTTACTTCTAAATAATAAGGAGGTGACTTAAGAGCCCAATCATGGAGGCACAAGTTATACCACAGTTGGTATACCGCAAGTTGTAGACCTAGGCAGAGGGTGTTCAGGGTTCTCTTTCCATTTGCTGGAGCCTCCGAGTTGCCTCATTGATCCTCAAAGAGGCTTGTGAATTGGAATTGTTTTAAGAAGGTCAGACCAAGGATCATTTTGCTATTTGATTTAGAATTTTAAGACCCCTTGAAGTATGAAACAAAAATATTAAAACATGATTTGATGAAACATAATTTTTGCCCTTACTGCTATTAGCCTATACAAACGCATTGAATAACAGATAGTCCCCCCAAACAAATCTAAAGGAATTTTGTTCTGAAATGGCTGTCCTATATATGAGAGATATAAGAAAGATCAGGAAACATTTGTTATTGTTTCTTTTACATTTAACCCCTTATTTTTGGCACTATACAGTCTCCATATATACTTCCATTCATTTTTTCAACTGGGACTGTGTGACCTTCAGACGGGTCTTATCAGGCCTGTGGGCGACATGTACGTGTTTGTGAGAGTCTCACCTTTCCATAGAGTGGTCATCTTAGTGTGTAGCCCAAATTGGACGCTACAGACAGAAGTTGGCAGATCGGCTGTACCTACTTCAGACGAGTCCCAAGACCATTGTGGGGGTCGTAGAGCAAAACGGAGAAAACCATCGTGTTCGTGAGAGTCTAATTTTTCCATAGAGGGGTCAATGGTATTGTGGCAGCGATATTGGATTTTGGAATCCATTATGGATTTGGAGTCAAATCTAGTGGGGGGCCTAACGTAATTGCAAGAGGCTAAACATATCAAATCCAAAAGGGAATATTTGACTGAAAATAAATGACAGTTTTCACTGTCTTAGCCCACTTGTTTTCCTTAAAGCCGATTATATTACAATAGTCACAACATAAAAAAACGTAACTTGTATTTCTGTCAGGCAGGACCATACAGTGCTGAAGGAGAGCACATTTGACTTGGAAAGTTGTCTATCAAAGATATTCTCTGGTACTTTTGTGTACCTTTTAGCCAGTAGTTCTGAAAATAGCGCCCAAGAGCCAAATGTGGCAAATATGCAGTTATGTGCACCACGTCATTGCTCTGTCTCTCGCTCTGCTGTGTGTGCATCTTGCCAGCTGTCACTCAAATGGTGAGGGGCTAAAGCTCATTGGTTCGACTCGAATTGCTAGGGCGCTGGCCCAAGTGGGGGAAAATGTAGGGAAAATGGCACCAAACAGCTTCCAGTAAACAATCACTTTCAAACTAGGGATTTTGTGGCTAATTGAGGTAAAACAGTAATTCTGCTCATAGATTATGCATGTATGAACCACAACCCCCCACCCCCTCCAGCCAAACATTATTCTGCACTTACTGAGTTTAGGGGGTGTTTTCCTTAGAGCTGATAACAATAGCCACAACATCAAAACACATGTGTAACTGTTTATATATATTTTTCCTGAACTTTTTTACACAACCATCCATTTCATAAATGGGAGACATTAGAGATGTGAAAAAATCTGGTTGTTTTTTGTCCTACTTCGGGTAGGGGGATTGGCCACTAGCCTACATACAAACAACTGGCTTTCAGCATCGGGACTCGCTAAAAACACGGCACTTCGATGCAAGTTACTTTTCGTAGCAGGTCAGGAGAGCATTTTTGCTAACCCTAACCCTTTTCCTAACCTTAAACCTAATTCTCCTAACCTGCTACGTTAATTATCCTAACCTGCTGCGTAAGTTCTCCTGACAGGCTACGAAAAAGTTGTATTGTGTTTTTAGGGAATCTCTTTCGACATCACAACACATGTTTGAATATGGACAGGCCTACTATATTTGAACCCAGATAAGTATCATGGATTATCTCCTATGACTAGATAGGCATTAATTATTTCATTTGAATCCTGGGTGGTAGGCTATGGCACTGTGTGTGTTTGTGTTAATGTGTGTGTGTGTGTGTGTGTGTGTGTGTGTGCGTTTGAGAGAGAGACACACAGAGAGACAGAGAGAGAGAGAGAGAGCGAGAGAGAGAGAAATAAAGAAAGAGAGGGAGAGACAGCGAGAGAGAGGGAGGAAGAGAGAGAGTGCTGGGAGGTGGGTCGAAAAGCAACTCCACCTTTGCTGACCCATATCCTGAATAAGCTGATGAGCCTCTTAAATGTAACACCTTGACACCTCTCTCCTGCTGCCAGAAATAGGGGAGAAAAATGACGTCTCAGCAGAATACACTAAGCAACTAAACATACAAAATCACCACACAAATTATACTCATGAAATTAATTTATACACATGCTTTCTATCGTGCAGTTTTGTCAAAAACTAGTCCATGGATACAAATCATATTTATTATTGTCATACCTGGACGATATGCTTATGGAATGGCTGTATTGTGCATTACTTGTCCAGTTCAGATGTTCTATAGGTCTTACTCTGACCCAATCTGGTGGATTTTATACTACAATACCTGATAAAGACAGGAGAATGTGAACTGGTGAATTAGGTCTGATGTGTCTGGGATAGCATTTAGGTATGTGTACTTATCAGTGTACTTATCAGTGTTGAGGTAAATTGCAGGTTCGGACGTTTGTTTATTCTTCCATAGTTGCAGTAGTGGTACGGCGATGGTGAGTCGACCACAGCCAAGGTAAGTGGAAAATAGTATATTTTGAGGGAACTATCCCTTTACCTATAATCCAAAATTATTACTTAATGTCCACACGATGGCGCCAAGTGTACATTAGACTGGAAAAACAATAGACTTGCACATACCAATACCAACCTTCAATCTGTATTGTGGCATTCACTTTCACCAAGTGGCACAGGATAATAATAACCAGTAGTGATGTGTGGGTAAAATCACTGGGGAAGCCAAATTTAGGAAAGGGACAATTTTAGCTAGCTAGATAGCCACCGGAGGACAACAACACAATGAGATGTAACAATTGAAGTTGTTTCTATTAATGAGGTATGCTCTCAAAGCGATTTGACAGGAGAGACGCCAAATCCAAGTTGGCTTCTCTTGACACTTTTCCCCCCGCCAGGACCATTCACAGTTGAGCTCACGCAGTTTAGCTCAATGCTGATTGGCCAATTTTTTAGACTTTTTTTGTCAAGGGACGCCAAATGCTTGCTGGCTTCCCTTGCATTCAATGCTACTGCTTGCTGGCTTCCCTTGCATTCAATGCTATGGGCGGCAACAATGTCATACTTGTTTGGACCAGACAGTATCAGATAGATGGCCTACCCGTAGAGAAACAGAGGGGTGCTGTTTCGCTCGCTCTGATGTTTTCTCTTGTGAGATACATTCAGCCTCTTGCGAATTGAAGGCAAATTATGAGAAGCCTGGCTTCCCTTGGCGTCCATGAATACACGCCACTGATAATAACAACCCTACTTCGGCCCCCAATAGAAAAATGCGCTCAGCATGTATTCCCCATTTCATACCCATGGATTCTGCTCAAATATACCTTTTTATTTTCAGGATATACAAGCTTTATAATGTGTATTTGTGTAATAAGGCTTAATAGGAGTACAACATGTAGTTCTGTATTTTGAACTATCACTTCCATTTGTTTTCCAAAAAACATTTCGCAATTATCTTCTATGAGTGTATCGGATGCTGCACACAGGGAGAGACAGAGAGAGACAGAGAGAGAGAGAGAGAGAGAGAGAGAGAGAGAGAGAGAGAGAGAGAGAGAGAGAGAGAACGAGAGAGAGAGAGACCAAGACAGAGAGAAAGAGAGAAAAAAAGAGACAGAGAGAGAGAGAGAGGGAGAGAGAGAGAGAGAGAGAGAGAGAGAGAGAGAGAGATAGACCAAGACAGAGAGAGAGACCGAGAGAGAGAGAGAGAGCAAGAGAGAGTATCATATTACACAATTGTAAATCCAGACACTCTGGTTCATAGTGCATCGCCCACACAACCAGTGCTGCTACGCTTATCAGCTCAGTACAGATTAGTATAGAGGACTAGCGACTTGCCCCTTTTCCCTGGGCTAAACCTGCAGGCTGGGACTGTCTGTCTGTCTGGTCTTGTCCAGCGCTGCTCTCTTGACCTGGGACAGATCATTCTGTCATGGGCCTGCTCACTCTCCCTCTCCTTCTCTCTGGGGATGTAGCACTCAAAATACAACCTGACATCATTTTTCCACTTCCCTTGGAAATTTTAGTTGATCCCCAAAGATAGTTTTTGGATAGTGGTATATGTTGTTTACTTCTATTACTTGATGGTCTAATTATGTTTTGTCAGTATTACCAACACCACCTTACAAACACTCCAATGTTAACTCATATTACAACAGTATCCCTTTCTGAAGAAGTTGCTTGCATTAAATATTTGACATTTCACTTTATTATGTTGTAATCCAATATATTGAGTTTTTATATTTTGATCACAATAACAACATTCAAAAGTGTATTGAACCACAGGATGTAGCCTATAGTTCTTATAGGAGGTACCGTTTATTTAGAGTTTATTTAAAACAGAGGAAACCGTTTCCATTGTTTGGCACACTTATCAGTTCACCCCCAATAAGGCAATGTCCCAAAAAGCCTAACACTTCTAAAACAGAAAGACAGCTCTTAGATAAACCAGCGCTTCTAAAACATAAAAAGTGTTTTGTGAGATTAGCCTCTGTCTATACGACTATGCTTCCTTTGCAGGGCACGCTCCTGATTTGAAACGCTTTCTCTTGGGTTGGATTGGGAGTATCCATCCATCTGTGCCATCACAGCTTTAAGGTAGTGTAAACCGAGGAGGGACAGGGTAGTGGACAAGGTGGAGATCAGGGTTATCAGAGTTTAGCTGTCCATCATCTGGGCAGGTACTCCAGTGGAAGGCCTGTGTGGTTGCTGTCCCGGAGAGCCTGGTCCACCGCACGGATCAGCCCGTCTATCAGTCCTCTCATATCGGGTGTGAAGGGGTCGAAGGTGGGCCGCCGGGCCCCGGAGCGTTTAAAGTGTCCATCCTGGTTGCTCTCGGCACAAAGCAGTCTGTCCTCGCTCACTGTGGCGTTGAGGAAGGAGATGATGGATCGTAGCCGGGGCACCAGCGCTGTCTGGAGTTCCTCGAAGTGGACCACTAGGACCCGCCGACCAAACCGCAGCCAGTCCAGTACGTGGGACGCCCACCAGGAGGCGTAGCTGGCCACAAACTCAGGCCACTCTACAAGAGGGGGGGCATGTTATTGTGCAGTACTTTTCAGAAAGAACAACATCAACTTACACAATGCAGACAGACACACAGACCCTCCTGCAATAAAACAAATTACACGGTCCCAGAAGGTCTCCTACTCTGGCTGGTGTCCTATACTTTACATGACTAATACAAGCCACAATCAAACCCAGATTCCAGGCTGGCTCTGTACCTTTGGTCTTCCAGTGCTGATCAGAGGCGTATCCCAGATGTCCTGCACACTTCCTGTTGAACTCAGCCATGAGGGAACGGTACGGGCTCCTGATCAGCAGGATGACAGAGTCGTACATCTCTATCTCTCTCCTCCCACTCTCATGTGTTTTCACACAGATGGTCCGACCACTCTTCCAGTAATCCTTCTCCCCTTTGAAGCCTACACAACACCAAGACACAGATACACACACCATATGGGAAATATTTGGCTTTCGTATTTGGCCATATAAACCAAGCCAGACAGAGGGGTATGGATGATAACTTTTAAAAAATAATCTTGAATTCATTATGGATTGAGGCAAATAGCTGGATCTGCACAACAGATGGCCAAGGACAGAAGTGGCAGATTTCCTAAAGTGTGGGTGCCCTCTTTCCTATCCAGTGTAAACATACAGTGACTTTACAGTGTAGGAGCTGACCTCTGTTGTAAAGGGTTCCATCAAAGTAGTAGCTGCCTGTGTAGTATCCTGTGGCCAACTCTATGAGGTGTCTGACCCAGGTGTTGCCTGCTCCTGGGAAGCTGGAGAGCGCTACCAATGAACTGGACTTCTCTGGTAGGAACTTCCTCTCTGTGCATCTGGAGTCTGGGAGAGAGAAGGAATTTAACATTTTAAATCAGGATGGGATTTTTACATAGTCTGCTCAGAAACATACTGAATTGCAGAAGACAAAGTCCAACACAATTTTAACAACTTGAATGGAAATTTGAATTTGCGTGGTGCAAAGTGGAGTTTGGTGTCATGCCGAAGTGGTGCTTAAAATTATTTCACAAGGTTGGCTGTCTTGGATTTGAAGGAAGAATGCTTTTTTGGTTGTCTGACCGTGTTACCTTGGACAGGTGTCTGGTAGACCTGGTAGAAGTGCTGGAGGGTTGATGGTAAGGAGGCTTCAGTGGTGTTTCTCTGTGAACAGTGCTCCTCCTCAGCCGGCTCATGGAGAGTGAAGTCAGGAGTAGCATAACCACAGAAACAGTCCGGACTCCTCAGCATAGCCAGAGGAAACTCCTAGGCCAGGCAAATTTGGTCACATTTTAAATAATTTAAAACGTATAATGGGTTTATAGGGCATTCAAAAAGTCTTCATAATCACATTGTAAATGCTGAAACAATTTATTTATAAGCAACGTCATACTGCAAAATTCTGACAATGGCACCCTAGGAGTCCAACCTTGTTCATGCAGGCCTCTATGCAGAACTGGGAGGTGAGGTTGGGCTGGAGCACATGGACCAGGGATGTAGAGGTGCTGTTCTCAGGCTCCCTGAAGCAGCCGCGGTAACGCACGTTCCTGTCTGCAAACACAGGAGAGATAGTTTGCACAGCTGCAAGTCTCAGCCATATGGCTTCAACACAGACCTATATCATACCTAAACATTCCCTGTAAGCTGAGCCCTAGACTTGTCTGTGGGTGTGTAGCAGATCTGTGCTCTCCTGACAATGAATGCGATGCTTTATCAGCTTGACTCAATCTCCTACTGTTCCCCGGCTCTTAAGATTGGACCAGGTCCCTGATACTCACATCTCCTCTGGCCTGGAAGCACATCCTCCACCTTGAACACTGACAGGCGCCCAACACCTCCACACGGGGAGCCTTTCTCCCCTTTACAGTCCAAGTTACACTCCTCGTCTCTCACACGCAGGCTGGTGATGTGGTTGCCACAGTAACACTCCGACCCGTACTCCAGACCAGCAAACTGGTAGCCACTATAATAAATGACATTCAGATAGATATGAAACTCTGGTAACAATTTACATCAACTCACAAAGTATTCACTAAACATCCGTAATCACTAAACAATCTGGTTCTTCATAAGAAACGTATTTAATATATTGATTGCCTAGTCAGGTCTTCTTTTTCAAAAGTAATCTTTTTCTATAACTATGCTGAACCATGCGTGTAACACGAGAACATACAGTATGTTAATAATGAATTCAACAGCAATGCAAATGCAGCACACTCCTCTACCCTAGGGGTTAATTAGGGGAGTACCGTATGTCTCGCTCCCTTTGCTCTGCTGCACAATTAATACTGACAGAGACTGAAGCAGTCTCACCCCAAACCCTGTTCCATTACTAGTTAATACAAGTCAAGTATCTTGGAGCTCCTCAGGCTGAGCATATGCCTATGCTATGCTAATTCTATGGTCTGCCTACCTGTGGGTGCATTCCAGATACACAGATGATGTGCAGTTTAATCTGCAGAGATTATAGGATGGGAATGGGGGTTATATAATGTTGATGATATGCTCCTCCTGAGATGTGAAATACTTCCTGTGTTGTGAAAGATCTGATAATAGTGTGTTGAGGCAGGAAGGAGCTACAATTACCTCGCTGAGCAGATATCCTGGCACATGGTGCTGGTCATTTTGCGGAAATCAGTGGATACAGATCCCCTCAAAGCACGCTCCTTGGAATTGTCCAGGAAGCAGCCCATGTAAGAACCTTGAGAACAAACCAACAAACATACAGTGAGGGAAAAAAGTATTTGATCGTTGTACGTTTGCCCACTGACAAAGAAATGATCAGTCTATAATTTTAATGGTAGGTTTATTTGAACAGTGAGAGACAGAATAACAACAAATAAATCCAGAAAAACGCATGTCAAAAATGTTATAAATTGATTTGCATTTTAATGAGGGAAATAAGTATTTGACCCCCTCTCAATCAGAAAGATTTCTGGCTCCCAGGTGTCTTTTATACAGGTAACGAGCTGAGATTAGGAGCACACTCTTAAAGGGAGTGCTCCTAATCTCAGTTTGTTACCTGTATAAAAGACACTTGTCCACAGAAGCAATCAATCAATCAGATTCCAAACTCTCCACCATGGCCAAGACCAAAGAGCTATCCAAGGATGTCAGGGACAAGATTGTAGACCTACACAAGGCTGGAATGGACTACAAGACCATCGCCAAGCAGCTTGGTGAGAAGGTGACAACAGATGGTGTGATTATTCGCAAATGGAAGAAACACAAAAGAACTGTCAATCTCCCTCGGGCCTGGGGCTCCATGCAAGATCTCACCTCGTGGAGTTGCAATGATCATGAGAACGGTGAAGAATCAGCCCAGAACTACACGGGAGGATCTTGTCAATGATCTCAAGGCAGCTGGGACCATAGTCACCAAGAAAACAATTGGTAACACACTACGCTGTGAAGGACTGAAATCCTACAGCGCCCGCAAGGTCCCTTTGCTCAAGAAAGCACATATACATGCCCGTCTGAAGTTTGCCAATGAACATCTGAATGATTCAGAGGAGAACTGGGTGAAAGTGTTGTGGTCAGATGAGACCAAAATCGAGCTCTTTGTCATCAACTCAACTCGCCGTGTTTGGAGGAGGAGGAATGCTGCCTATGACCCCAAGAACACCATCCCCACTGTCAAACATGGAGGTGGAAACATTATGCTTTGGGGGTGTTTTTCTGCTATGGGGATAAGACAACTTCACCGCATCAAAGGGACGATGGACGGTGCCATGTACCATCAAATATTGGGTGAGAACCTCCTTCCCTCAGCCAGGGCATTGAAAATGGGTCGTGGATGGGTATTCCAGCATGACAATGACCCAAAACACACGGCCAAGGCAACAAAGGAGTGGCTCAAGAAGAAGCACATTAAGGTCCTGGAGTGGCCTAGCCAGTCTCCTGACCTTAATCCCATAGAAAATCTGTGGAGGGAGCTGAAGGTTTGAGTTGCCAAACGTCAGCCTCGAAACCTTAATGACTTGGAGAAGATCTGCAAAGAGGAGTGGGACAAAATCCCTCCTGAGATGTGTGCAAACCTGGTGGCCAACTACAAGAAACGTCTGACCTCTGTGATTGCCAAAAAGGGTTTTGCCACCAAGTAATAAGTCATGTTTTGCAGAGGGGTCAAATACTTATTTCTCTCATTAAAATGCAAATCAATTTATAACATTTTTGACATGCGTTTTTCTGGATTTTGTTGTTGTTATTCTGTCTCTCACTGTTCAAATAAACCTACCATTAAAATTATAGACTGATCATTTCTTTGTCAGTGGGTAAACGTACAAAATCAGCAGGAGATCAAATACGTTTTTCCCTCACTGTACATACATTCATAAATCAGCAAAGCATTAGTTACAGGTTAAGTAGTCTGTCAATGTGTTACTTCATTTTGTCAACCACTTTTTCAGGTAGCGTCTCCAAAACTTGAGGAGTTGACAAATAGCTAATTTATAGAATACAATACCCCTTCAGAATCTCCACTCTAAATGGCAGAGAATAATTTTCCTCATTTCTGGGATAGGTAGGTAGGTACCTTTGTGAGGCACATTCCTCCTGGGGGTGCTCCTCTCCACCTGTGACATATCCTTCTCCGTCATCAGGCTGTGGAACCAGCGCCGCTGCAGGTGTCGGATCTCCAGATTCCTCGACATGAGCCAGCGTGCTCCAGTCCTGTCATCCAATGGGCTCCCAGGCTTGTACTCCTGCCCCCTGGCCATGATCCGTGAGTTCCTGCCCCTGTAGCCTCCTACCCTCACGGGTGGCATCCCCAGGGCCCGGGGTGGTGAGGGTAAGGAGGGCAGGGAGGACAATGGAGGGCTGGTGGCCCCTCGCTGGGTCACCAGCAGGCTGGCCCGTTGGAGCAGCAGGACGCTCCCTGCCATGATATAGGCCACACCCAGGAAGAGCAGGAACAGCTGGGTCCTCCGGAGGAAACTCTGCAGTCTGTAGAGGGGCTTGGCCATCGATCCCCTCTTTAGCTCAGCCTGCCGCTGGCTCCAAACATAAACAGAGCTCTGGTGTAAAGCATTCTATCCCAGTAACATACTCCCTTGTCTAGTCATCTCAGCAATATGATTCTTGTGATCTATGTGATCTACAATACTTCTCACCACGAGAGGATCAGGAATCAGGAATTGGTAGAGCCTAGTGGTCAAATGTCCTTAGATGTACCTCGACCTTGTTCCACTCAAGCAAGAGGTTCCGCTCCATAGCTTGTTGCTGTACGTATCTCAACTGTAATACGAAGACACAGCCTCTTGAGTCAGGAGGATTCAGCCCACCTCCTCCGGAGCCAATGGAAGGCAGTCTGAATGAGGTCAAGGTTCAGCTTTCTCTTCTTATCCCCAGAGATTAAACTACATACTGTATAGGAGACACAGGAGAAAGATTGTGTTATTGAGGCAGAGTGGTTATGGTTGTATATGTCTCTATTATAAAGGAGAGGAGGTGAGCCTCAAAACTAGATCCTGCTCTTGTCAGCGTAACCTCTCACCTTCATCTCAGACTCAGCTTTAGAACAAGGCCCAGTTCTAAACAAAGGCTTGTGATGTGACGGCTTTCTTTCTCGCCAACACCAAGGGAGACCAGAGTGGAATGAAAATAAGCTTAGAGAAACATTTTTTCCATGGGTTTATAGAGTAACTAGCAGATGCAAGTTTTCCTTCACAAAAATGATAGCTTTAGTAGCTTTAGCCAGTGATTAAATTACGTTTTTTAACAAGAATGACTTATTTCCACCACAATGCGAGATTCAAGGTATCATCATCTAATCCATTAGTTCCTGACAGGAACCAACAGTGTGAGGTCAACACATCTTGCTCAGTCAGCTTTTCAACCATCTCCCTTTCAGCAATAACATACTTGTATTTGCAGGAACCAGATTGCGTTTGTCAATCTCAACTGGGCCGTACAATACTTTTTAAACCATGTGTTTCATTATAGATGTAATGCCAGTCTTCCACTGAGGTAACTCAGTTTTCCACTGAGTTGTGGGTAGCATCTTCCTTCTTGAAAATTTATCAAAAATAGGACCCCTTCAGTTTAAAGCTGAACTTTTCACAAATTAATGTAGATTATTGCTCAAACAAAGCACAGCTTAACCAGGACTTTGTGTATGGCATTAACAATTTAAGGCATTAATCACATGCAAAATAGGCTACTTTAAAATGGAGAATAAACTTTAAGACCAGATTCAAGAAGTATGGGAAGGCTGGCAATAAAGCACTGCCGTGACTAAGAGAGCCTGTACAGACAGATACATTTATCCATCCAAAAACCAGCCAAATCTCTTAAGTTTCAGGGCAAGATAAATCTCTTGCAGAGTCAGACAAATCAATTGAATATTCATCCAAATTCATATCCTGATATGCCAGACAGAGCTCCCTCTTACACGTTTTATGTGTTTCTGAGTTTTGCCTCAGAGGAACTGCCTTGCCCCAGGCAAGCACTGAGGCACTTCTTTAGTTGCTCTTATTTGTTTTTCTTTTCATGTTGCTCCTTACTTCCTGGAACCCACGGACTGTCTTCAAGTGCAGTACAGACAAGTTGATTATCATAAACATAGATAAGCTCTAGAGTAAGCTCCCTTTCATATGCTTTAGCCTACTTTCACATCTTAGACAATCTTGTACATTTTGCCAGTTTTAATTATTTGTTTTTCCAATAAAAAACCTTACTGTGGCATTTCTGCAAATTATTTTCTTTTTGTGACCAAATTTGTATATATTTTTTTGTTTTTATAAGGCAGTAGTATCAGTCCAAGAGTAGGAGTTATTTATATGTATATATTTATGTAAATTCTGACCCAATTTTTAGGGTGTGAGCTGAGAATATGCTAAGTCAAGGACAGCCTCTGCATGCGTGACCTGTGTGGAATACTCTCAGCCACTCCTGAGAGTGGTCCAGGGCCAGCACTTACCAATCCTTTAAGAGCAAGGGATATACAGTGAGGGAAAAAAGTATTTGATCTCCTGCTGATTTTGTACGTTTGCCCACTGACAAAGACATGATCAGTCTATAATTTTAATGGTAGGTTTATTTGAACAGTGAGAGACAGAATAACAACAAAAAAATCCAGAAAAACGGCTAGGCCACTCCAGGACCTTAATGTGCTTCTTCTTGAGCCACTCCTTTGTTGCCATGGCCGTGTGTTTTGGGTCATTGTCATGCTGGAATACCCATCCACGACCCATTTTCAATGCCCTGGCTGAGGGAAGGAGGTTCTCACCCAAGATTTGACAGTACATGGCCCCGTCCATCGTCCCTTTGATGCGGTGAAGTTGTCCTGTCCCCTTAGCAGAAAAACACCCCCAAAGCATAATGTTTCCACCTCCATGTTTGACGGTGGGGATGGTGTTCTTGGGGTCATAGGCAGCATTCCTCCTACTCCAAACACGGCGAGTTGAGTTGATGCCAAAGAGCTCGATTTTGGTCTCATCTGACCACAACACTTTCACCCAGTTCTCCTCTGAATCATTCAGATGTTCATTGGCAATCTTCAGACGGGCATGTATATGTGCTTTCTTGAGCAGGGGGGACCTTGCGGGCGCTGCAGGATTTCAGTCCTTCATGGCGTAGTGTGTTACCAATTGTTTTCTTAGTGACTATGGTCCCAGCTGCCTTGAGATCATTGACAAGATCCTCCCGTGTAGTTCTGGGCTGATTCCTCACCGTTCTCATGATCATTGCAACTCCACGAAGTGAGATCTTGCATGGAGCCCCAGGCCGAGGGAGATTGACAGTTATTTTGTGTTTCTTCCATTTGCGAATAATCGCACCAACCGTTGTCACCTTCTCACCAAGCTGCTTGGCGATGGTCTTGTAGCCCATTCCAGCCTTGTGTAGGTCTACAATCTTGTCCCTGACATCCTTGGAGAGCTCTTTGGTCTTGGCCATGGTGGAGAGTTTGGAATCTGATTGATTGATTGCTTCTGTGGACAGGTGTCTTTTATACAGGTAACAAGCTGAGATTAGGAGCACTACCTTTAAGAGTGTGCTCCTAATCTCAGCTCGTTACCTGTATAAAAGACACCTGGGAGCCAGAAATCTTTCTGATTGAGAGGGGGTCAAATACTTATTTCCCTCATTAAAATGCAAATCAATTTATAACATTTTTGACATGCGTATTTCAGTTTTTTGTTGTTGTTATTCTGTCTCTCACTGTTCAAATAAACCTACCATTAAAATGATAGACTGATCATTTCTTTGTCAGTGGGCAAACGTACAACGATCAAATACTTTTTTCCCTCACTGTATGTTTGTTGGTTTGTTCTCAAGGTTCTTACATGGGCTGCTTCCTGGACAATTCCAAGGAGCGTGCTTTGAGGGGATCTGTATCCACTGATTTCCGCAAAATGACCAGCACCATGTGCCAGGATATCTGCTCAGCGAGGTAATTGTAGCTCCTTCCTGCCTCAACACACTATTATCAGAGGGATCAAATACTTTTTTCCCTCACTGTATATGGAGTGCTGCATTAATATTTTGTTAGGAAATGGACCGTCTTGGGTTATTTACACTTTGTGTTGCATTTCCATTTGAAGATTGATGGACCAAGCCATAAACAAGCCACAGTCACTAAAAACCGCTCAATAAATGGCTGCTAAAATTATCGCAAATGCCAGATCCTGGACACTATTTTATTGACTACTGAAATCAAGCAGATGCATATGTAAAGCATGAGTTGCTGCACCAAGCTCTGCTGCTACTGTATTTACAGTGGTGTAAAGTACTTAAGTAAAAATACTTTAAAGTACTACTTAAGTAGTTTTTTGGGGTATCTGTACTTTACTTTACTATTTATATTTTTGACAACTTTTACTTTTACTTCACTACATTCCTAAACAAAATAATGTACTTTTTACTCCATACATTTTCCCTGACACCCAAAAGTACTCGTTACATTTTGAATGCTTAGCAGGACAGGAAAATGGTCAAATTCAAACACTTATCAATAGAACATCCCTGGTCATCCCTACTGCTTCTGATCTGGCGGACTCACTAAACACACATGCTTCGTTTGTAAATTAGTGTTGTAGTGTGCTCCTTGCTATCCGTAAATAATAAATAAAAATAAAATAAAATGGTGCCGTCTGGTTTGCTTAATATAAGGAATTTGAAATGATTTATACTTTTACTTTTACTTTTGATATTTAAGTATATTTCAAACCAAATACTTTTAGACTTTTACTCAAGTAGTATTTTACTGGGTGACTTTTACTTTTACTTGAGTAATTTTCTAATAAAGTATCTTTACTTTTACTCAAGTATGACATTTGAGTACTTTTTCCACCACTGTGTATTTATTGAAGAACACCTGATTATGCCTGCAGTGTGTTTAGCAAGTGATTTGCAGAAAGTTTTAACTGCAGTTACAGAATGTTCTGTTGTAATATTTTGCTTAATTTCTCTGTAGCTGATGTTGGAAATGTATGGTATGAATCACCTACTGGGTCTTCTATTGAATTTGTATTGAAGATTAGTATTTTTGTAAATCTATGATACAACATAGCACAAAGTTGTAATTTCTTCCTTCATCCTTTATATAGCCAGTTATGGCTTTGAGGAGGACATGTTTGTTTTCTGTCTACTCCACATGTGACAGGTGGCATGCTGGCATAATACCTGATCCTCTGACACATTCATTTCCACCTCAATTTTCCCAACTCTGACAACTAGCCTCCAACCATTCCCCCCTGCAACCTTCCACCATTCCCCCTTTTCCTACCATGGCACCCCCTGCTGGACCCAAATGCCAGTGCCCGGGAGGCTGTAGCTTGTGGTCCACCCTGGAACACAAATCAGCTCACACAAACAGGCCACTGAATACCCCATTCAATACTAGATTGTAGGGAGAGGGGGTGGTGTGTGTGTGTGTGTACAAGAGCGGGGGTCTTTCTCTTGGGCTGACTGAAAGGATGTGTAGAAAGAAAACAGAGTGGGACATTCTCCACTGACGGCTGTGTAATGATCTGCTGTGTCTTGGGCATCAACC